ATACGGCAAAGATAATTCCATATCAGCTATCAGTACTGAGTGGTCGCTCGTAGCCAGGGGCTCCAGAATCCTATCGTCACGCACTCGTTGTTCGTAGCTCGTTAACATCAGGTTAAGGCAGGACGGTGTTGAACGTGTTGATTTGCTTGTTGGCTGGCATATGTGTTGCGATGCACCAGTTTCAAGTACGAAATCCACGAACATTGCTTCAACCTCACTATGTCCAGGCATCAAATGCACATCAGGCCATTGTATTCGAGGACAGTTAAAATCGCCCATAAGTAGCAAGTGTGGAAGACTCATGTGGGTCCGAAGAATGGGCAGCCAATCCAAACAACGACTCAGGGGACTGCGATAAAATGCGCCCACAAGCAGTTCTCCGCGCCTGAGGCGAATAGAGCACCACAGTAGCTTACACAGACCATCGTCACTTCGGTAGGTGCTCACAAGTCTCCCATGCAGGGAAGACCGGATGTAAAGTAAGACACCATTGTTGGCATTCTTTAGTCTATCGCATTGGAAACACGAGTAACCGTTGAGTTCAAGTTCTTGGGTGTATAACTCTGCATGCAGCCATGTCTCTGCGAGTCCCACTACGTCTGGCCGCTCAGACGCAACGAAACAACAAAGCTCATCGCGCTTATTCATAATACTGCAAACGTTTGTGAAGGCCACTCGCAGGTCGCAGCAGGAGCCACCGGGCGTGCTTGAAGTGTGAGTAGCCTGTTTATCCTGATTCGCAGATGGTTGGAAACCACCGGAAAATTTACGATACGATTTGTATCCCCCTCACCAGTGCGTCGTTTCAGCTCAATGATGGCAGACTTGAGTCGCTCCCTGTCTACTGGGTCTAGGTCGGGACGAACATGGATTTTCAAACCTTTAAGTCTAGTAAGGCGAGACATGATCAGTCTTGGACTGGCTTCGTCTACAAAAGTGATTCGCATAGGCCGATTTTGTTGAGCACCTTGCTTTCTAAGACGGGTAATCTGCCTCACTTTTACCGAGTCCTCACCAACGTCGAGGAGTGTATCAATTAGACCCTGTAAAAACTCGACATCGTGATCGTAGCGCACTTGGGGTGATGGATCACTGGACTCCGGTGCGTGAAAGATCACGAGATTATAACGCCTCTGGTCGGACGAGGTTGGCCTTGCAGGGCGAAGTATACTACCAGCCTCAAATGGTTTGGCTAACTGTTGACTTACAGAACGTAAACGCCCAACGTTCCTTCGTAATTTCGTTCACTGTTCTTTCCACTGGTCTCCAGCATTCAGACTTTCACCTTCTGGGATATCAGTGTCCGTTGGACACAACAAAGGTGAACAATTTAGGTCAGCTGCAACTGGGCTTCTCACAACGGTTGGACTTCGTTCCGATGAGTTTGCACGGATAGAGGAGGAAGACTGACCTGAAATCTGAAGGCTCTTCTGGCTAGCTTGTTGGGTCAAACACACTGAGCTGTTCGCAACGAAACGCTGAGGCCTACACGTTGGCTTTACTCTTTCTGGCTTTATCTTATTTTGGCAATTTTCACATATAGTTTGGACGAAATCGTGTTGGATCTCGCGACGACAATGAAAATGCTCAACTAATAATCCAACACATGAAATGCGGTATTTGACTTGGCACAAAATACAGGTGAGGGTATTTGCACGGTGTCCGATTAGCTTGGAGCAAGTACCACAGGATGACTGCTTCGGCATTGTGAATAATCCGAAAACAAGATGGCGGCCAATTGACGGAGAAAATGGTGATAGCAGGATCGCCGAAACCAAGCGATGAAAGCACAAGTATTTCTAGTCGGAAATTTCATAATCAGAAATGAAACTGAATTGTAGCTAAATTTCCACAAAATACTTCCAATGAACGTAGAAAGCTAACACAAAGTGATCTTGTCAACACAGTCAAAAATAACCGACCGGAGGCCGTTATCTCGAAGTTGCCGAATATCTTATTCCGTTGATAGCTACTTACCATCTAAAAGTTGCTCAAATATTTTTATGGGAGAAACTATTCAGGCAATTCTGCATTTCAATCCATCTGGGGTAAGGTTCGTTTGCTTCAGGTAGCAATTAATTACTACACGCTATTGCTCACACATTTTGCAAGCAGCTTAGGTACGGTGGACGGCATGCGTTTTCAAACCACCACGGGTAAACTTATCACTGCACTTTAATACCTCCTTTTCAATGACCAGCTGTGCTGCGTCTACTGCAAGTAAAACATATACTAAAGCATAAAAATTTTGGCTGTACCATTGTTACAGCATACCGGCGTGCTTTGGAAAAATGGTACCACATCTTATGTTTTTTAGGAAACACTGATTTACAATGGAATTCAGTTAGGGACTTTACCTGTTTCGCAAATTTTTACAGATGAAGTTGTCTGACTGCCATATGTGATGAGATAGCCTAGTCTTCCCGCTGTTGCGCGTAAAAGGTTAGGCAGATTATACCAATTGACAGCGGTTTGTCTTTATTTAGGCTGCTATACTATACATCGTCAGTTCAAAAACGTTGACCTGCGGTTGATAGTTGCAGTTGTTGCAAAAGTACAGGGGTAGCTGAAAGACAGTTTGATGTGGTGTTAAACCAATTTGCATAGTAGTCTCCATTCGTACCAAAGTTAATCATGAGTTCTAGGAACTAATGTTTGCTCCTGCAGTGTAACGCGCCTACATTTGATCATACTAGGAAACTTTGCTGATCTCCGCATTCGCTTTACACACTCGATAATTACAAAAGGTGCTACTGGGTAACCGTTGTTAAGGGTGAGCCTGATAGGCAGTATGTAATTTATGTGTTGAAGCAAAGTTAACAGGTTGAGGAGCATTTAGCTACATTACTGCCACGACCCATACGTACTTATGCTGTCGTCTTACGAAATTTTCACGGAGGGGTGAAGAGATTTCAACATCAAGAGATCTGCTTGGAACCGATTGAGAATTCATGCTTTCAGTAAGCTTTGAAAACAATCAGTTGGTATACTTTATGCGCAACGTTTCGCTTCTGATACAAAAGCATCGTTAATCCGGGAGATCCAGCGGGTGATTAGTACATCTTTTGTGGTAAACTGGGAAGATAATCGAGGCGATTGGGTTGTAAAACTTAATCAAGTTGTGGGCACAGATTCTCGATAACTAGAAATATACCTTTTAGTTCCGTTCAGTTTAAAGTTATCATTTCAAATAGTGCATTGAACGGTCCCAAGGCGTTCAACTTACAAGATCTTCACAAACAAGCACCCATCAGTGATAGTTTGGGGTGTGATTTGATGTTTACCCACATAAGGACTCAATAATGGGTTTGGTTTGTCTGATGCGTTCCAATTTTATGAAACCATCGCAGGCAGATAAAGGTCACATTTGTCGACTGTTTGTTTTTGAGGAAAAAGACATTATCCATCATGTTTGTATGGTTGGCACTTTTAATGTGCTAGTGTTATGCAAGACATGGTTTCAATGGGTCAAATGAGTAAAGCATACAATTAAAGGGCGGAATACCCGATTGACCGATTTGTAGAAAGCAAGCCTCTGATCCCTTACACTACATTAAGCGAAACACAGTCCGAATATAACTGCGCTTACATATAACTACATTCATACTCCAGACGTCTAAGTTTAGAGCCAAGAGATAGATTTTACTTTGCATTTGCATAAGTCATAACTCATGGCGTTAGATAGCAACAAGCACGCACATAGCTGCAGTCAAGGTTTGATATTCCTTATGACAATGGTTGAAGACGTACAGTTTCAGCTAGTATAATGCACGCATATCGTTAACATAGTCTATAAAATTAGGTCGGCTTTGTGTTTTAATCTGGGTACATTGGATATAACAGTATTTCTTATGTTCATAGAAATGGCTATTTTAAGAGGGTATTGCTAACAGACCTATGGCGAATCACGAGACCTTTTCGCATAGCATTTCTCGAGCTTCACACTAAATCTGCATCACTGCCACGAGGTTGTGTGTGACCCTGTCTATCTGCAGGATGACCTGAACCGGATTCACGAATGGGCAGTAAACAACCAACTACCCCTGAACCCCGAAAAGTGTCACCTGTTGTCGCTGCGCAGTAACTGCAGCAACACATATCACCTGGGGCAGCGCGTTATAAAACAGGTGAGCAACGAAAGAGACTTAGGGGTCATCGTGCAAGAAGGTCTGGGTAATTCGCTCCAATGTTCAAAGGCAGCTAACATAGCGAACTTAAACTTGAGGCTTTTGAGGCGAGCGCTCGGTATCTTCGAGCGGCAACTCGTGCCATTATTGATTAACGCCTACATTCGTCCCCACCTCGAGTATACGGTGCAGGCATGGCGTCCGTGGTTAAAACGGGACATTCGTCTCCTGGAGCAACCACAAAGAAGAGCCACTAAGGCAACACGTGGTCTATCGGGCCTTAGTTATGAACTGCGCCTTCGTTCGGTCGGTCTGTACTCCTTAGAATACCGACGACTTCGCGGTGATCTGATCCTCACTTACCGGATACTAAGAGAAGAGGACCATCCATGTAAGGCGCTGTTAACATTATCTGCCGACAAACGATGCCGAGGCCATGCACTAAAACTTGTGACTCAATATTCCCGTTTAGATTGTAGAAAGATTTGTTTACTCTCTTAGTGTCTGTCCCTCACTGGAACGCACTGCCATCGCTTGTGGTGAACGCACCAAACATCAAGACATTCGAAAGACTATTGGACTTGCACTTACATGATACACATTATATAACGGTATGACAAACTGCAGTGTCTAACTTACTGATATTTTTGTGTCACACCTGAAACTTTCGTTTTCTTCCATTTGCCATCCTGTGGGTCTTGTAAAGTTATTGCTTTTATCCCACCATACACTATTGAACTATTGAAAAACCAATTAGCTTAAGGTGAACGTAAGCATCTCAATAGTACACAAAGCACTTTTACCAGAAACTTTGTGTTGTAAACTCTCAGGAATGATGAATATCATATTTGTAGTTTCTGTTATAGAACTCACCGGTGAGATTCGAATCCATTGGGGTGATCTCTGATGTAGTGCGTACATAAAAATCAACAACAAAGGCAGAAGAGAGACAATGGTCAATTGCAACTTCCGGCTGCATGCCATGTGATTTAGGACATAATTGCTTTGTTAGATTGCTAGGTAATATTTGTTCTTTAGGTCCCACTCCAGACATGGTGTAGTGCATTCGGTTGCACTCTTGATTGGTTGGTGGTTATGGCGGACCAATAAACATTTCGCGCGAAGTCCAGTCTATGGTCGCATGATAAGTGAGCATCGGTTTCGTTTCGCTAGTAATGAACCATAGGTGGTCATGGAGGGCCGCAGCGTGGCTTGTAGACTTGGCTGAATAAAATCAGCCGAAGTTGTCGAGCACTGATTTGTCTGATCAGTACAGTGAATGAGACATTGTGTGGTCTTTGGTCAGTGTGCAGAAGTGCACATGTGTGAAGTGATAGGGTTAAGATATCCTCAACTCTGACTCACAAGTTTACTACCAGTGTGGCAAAACGCATCAAGGAGCACTGGCAAAGAGAAGCAATCGTGGCTATTGAATCCGTCGTGTATAAAACAGCCGTAAGCCACGACTTTTACCTTGTAAGTTACCAAAGTCTTTAACATGACGAAGCACAACACAAATTAACAAAACCTTCGTGAATTAAAAATACCTGACGTGTAGCCCAACAGGTTGCATCCATCATTGGGAGGACAAATATAGGTCACACGTGTGGATGAATGACGGACGTCCGAAGAGAGAAAATGTACTCAAATGATTGGGATCGATGGTAGCAAACAAAATGATGCATTTAAGACCTCACAGAATTCCATCAGCTTCAAAAACCCATATAGTTAACCGGTAGAAACTTAGGGAAAATTCACGAGTGAGCACGGGTCAAAAGTAGTAGTCACCAAACTACGGCCTGCGGCGTTAGTTAATACGACCCCCAACAGTACTCGAATTTGAGCACCCAGATAATTCACATACCCATCTTAGCAACCTACTTACTGCCCTCATACAAATGCATCTTTGATCACGTCATCGCATAACCCCACTAGGTTTCACCACGTTTATGCAACATCATCGCCACATCCCAGCTATGTTTATCCTCATGTTGATTATAAATGTCGACAGTTGGAGAGATACTCAGGGTGCAAAACATTCACTTTGACTGCTCTCACCGTTATGCCGCAATTCGAGCGGCAGGCTCTGTAGCGTTTGTCACTGCCTTATCATGTAGGACCACCTGACCCCAATCTCCTGTTTGCATGCGGCCCAACCTTTCACGCGGTTGAAACGCGCACAACACGGTGTGCCGTAGCTTATATGCAGCTGTCATTGTCATTGCTTCTGATGACATATAAGCTAGTTTCGTCGTGGCGTAGTAAACTTTACGAACGCTAGTTGTGTTAGTGAGCATGTCACGGTCTCATGTCAGAGTTTCCGACTCCATGATGTCCACCATAAGTGCAATCTCGTGCTACAGTGGTATCAATGCAGGTCCGGTATCTGCCGGCTGTTGAGACGGCAAAGAACGCAGAGTGCCCGTGATAAACCAGATGAGTGGAAACTTTGTTTTGGCATATTTCGGTCTGTCTCTGCAGACCCTATGGCTGCAACTTGCGGAACCGCGGTTGAAAAACACAGCTGTAAGCGGTTTATTGGGACCCGCCCTATGCGCACATTTCACAACACAACATATATATTTTACTGACGAAGTCAATTATGATCGGTTTGTCATGAACTGTACCTGCACCTTTGGTTAGCCGGAGCTTCACCCGAGATCTCTAGTTCTCTGCTTTGCTGGCATCCCAACAAGATACCACTAATGTTTCGAATTCAATGTCCTTTACTTTTTCAGTTCCCACTTACTGCATCGATTTTCATGACTATTGAAATGAGAAAAGTGGACGCTGAGCGTCGCGTCCTCATCGACTAGTGGGCAGTAAATTACGTCTTTGCGGAAACAGAGGACCACCAAATGTGTTCTATACAGACAAGGGGTTCTGTGACGCTTAAATGAGTATCATTTTACCGCTATTAACTAGGCATATATATATATATCTATATAAGCAAGCCGACGTTGTGTCAAGATCTCAAGAATGAGTCTTCTGTTGCAGTTCCAGTAAATCAGAATTAATGATTGAACTTGTTTCCGCAAATATCTGTAAAGTAATTCGATTTTTCCGATTGAAAAACTCAAGTGCTCCCCAGTGACACACTCCATCGCTGTGCAGGAAATGGTTACTGGAAGTTACTTTCTAATACATCAATAAGAGCTTGTGTCGAACAAGGCTATGGACAGTTCACTAGTACCTTAATGTGTGACAGATGGTAACCATACTTCTTTACAAGATCCGCAGGAGAGTAAACTCAAAAGAAGTGACAAATCGTTTTATCATACTGTAAATAGCCTTTGTCGCTCAGATGCAAGTCTAATAGTCTTTCGAATGTCGCGATCTGTGGTAAGTTATCCCCATGTGCTGATAATGCGTTCGAGTGTGAACGGATTCCCAATGGGTAAAAAAATACTTTGGATTCCCAACTGGGGTGTTGAGTTACTAGATTTAGTAAAGGACTCGTCATTGTTTAAAAGGAGTTTGGGTCAGTTGTGTTATACATGGATGGTCGGATTCTGTGAGCATTCGGTAGGCTAAAATGAGATCCTGTCATAGGCGTCGGTATCCGGAGGAAAAATACCGATAAACGAGGATGTATTTCATAGATGATACCGAATAGTCCACATAGTGCCTTAGTCACTTGTTTCGAAGGCTGCTCCGAGAGCGGAATATCACGTTATAACCTTGGAAGCTAGGCCTAAGCCGTATGTTCAAAATGCGAACTTGTATATCAGTTAATCAACAGGGTTAGTAGATGTCGCTCACATTCACCAAGAGCTTGCGTCCAAAGCTTCCAGCTCAAATTTGCCACGTTTGCTTCCAACGAACATTGGAGCGAACTGACATGACTTCATTGGACGATGATACCCAAGTCAAGTTCAGTGGTCACATGTTGCAGGACACGCCACCCCAAAAGATATGTGCCGTTGAATATGCTGCGCAGCAGGTTGCACTTCGTAGGGTTCAGTGGGATCTCTTTCAGTAATGCCTAATTTTTAATCCTGCCTAGATGGTTTTGGTGATAGGCACTGTTGGTTGTTAAGCAAATAGCACAGTAAATCTTAGCATCATCAACTATTTGCATCGGCGATTGAATATTTGCTGGTATGTCATCGAGATAGGCCAAAACCAGTTGATTGCTGAGGGCAAATATTTGCGGCACACAACTAGAGACACACAGGCATTCTGAGTGTGTATCCGCAATTTGTAAATCATAATTTTGTCGTGTCAGTAACCATCCCACCAGGTAAAAATATGGCCGTTGAAACCGTATGTACCAGATTTTCAGAAGAAAACTACAGGAATGACTGTCGAATGGGTTAGAAATGTCCAAGTATATCACATATGTGAGGAATATTTCGTCTGCTTCCCTTGTCCATGAGCGCAGAGCAAGAAGCCGATTGTTGAGACAAGGTTCTATGGGTATGAAACCAGTTGGAGACTGAAAACGACTTCCAGCCTTCCAAAATTTTGCATCATTTCATCTCCGATTTTTGACTCCATCACATTTGATGACATAGGCAGAAGAGTAATGAGACAGTAACTGCCAGGGTCCGGTTGCCTTATTTTAAATATCAGTGTGGTGATCCAACCTCTACCCTAGGATGGGAGTGTATAGGAATCAGCCACACCGAAAAAGGCTGAAAGCTGGACTTCTATGGTAAGAGCAGGGGTTTTATTAACTGCTGGACAGAGCTTGCCGATTCTCGGGGCACTGAATTATCCAAGCGGCTGTAAAGTCCGGACGACATCTGCTGGGGTAGAATTGACGATGTATAAGACGACGACATTTCGTGGTAGGTAAAGAGTGAGGGTCCAATGGTGATTGTAACCACTGCGCCAAGCTGCAATGTAATGCGTTCGCGGTATCCATAGCAGTGATAATTAGGGCACCGGCCGTCTTGAGTGGTGGCAGTCTGAGATCAACCTTTCTTTTGGTCATCCACACGTCTGTAAACAGTTTGGTGTTGAGTGTTTACTTGAGTACCATAGTGTCCCACCGTTCGTACTCATCGCCTCTAATGAGTAACGCGCAGTAATTCCTGATAGTTTTGTGACGTTTCCACGTGGTATCACATGGGTGCAGCGGATATTGCCCCCAAATACTGTCTCCACTATTGATCCTTTTATACTTTCCGCTGCAGACCCAAATGTTAGTCAAGTGCGAGACTTGTAATAGAACAACTTTTGCGGTGGATTACATGACCCAGTTATTTTTACCATTTGACTCATACCATGTGTCGTTTGCCGAACGGTGCAGATGGAGGTCCCAGCCAACAGTTGTCGCTTGGTTGTGAAGCTATGGATGGTCAGTAATAGCTCATCGAGTTTATCGTTGTTTATCAACAATGCTTGCGTAAAATACATAACGAAAATTTCGGACTGAGTGATCATTACAGCCAAGTGCATAATCCCATGGAACTGACTCGACCATCATCTATTCCTTATTACTTGTTAGGTTTAGAATTGATGGCTTATTTAGACCGCGGTAACTTGTTGATCAGTGCAGATAGATTTACGAAACTGTCATATCCATGAACTCAAGAAGTTTAGTTTTAAAATATATCGCACTGAAGTAAGTCTATACCGCTGTAGGTATACTGAAGTCGTCCATAATAATCTAGTGAGAGTATTATTGAAACAACATATTGGGTAGCGTTTAACAGAATGACATCGCTGTCTGCAGAGCAGTTTGGCTGCCCAAAGACAATTGCTAAGATGGAAGCATTACGCTTCTTTCTCTTAGGTCAACCATATCGACCTGTTAGCTTCAGTAGGCAAGATAAAGCGCAGAGAATGACGAGGAATACTTCATTAAAGGGCTCATATTTAAGCTAATCCGGTAGTAGACAGCAACACCGCCACTACGTGATGTGTGATGGTACCGAAGGATTAAAATTATAATTAGTTCAAATTTCGGATCTAATGCCTAGTTGGGGAGCCCCATATCAGTCACCGCCATGATGCCCTGAATGCAGCTTTACATTGAACGCGCAGTTCCGGCAGCTTAGAATCCAGCACCTGAGTGTTGGTGC